ACATGTCTTTTTATTTGTTTTTCCATGAATTGTTTTATCCTGCTCAGTTTTCAAATCCTCCTGGGTTGATCATCATCTCCATGATGTGCATGTACAGCTGCAATTCTTGGAACACAAGCATTGCTTGTCAGCAAGCCATTCTTCTAGCCCTGCCTGCAAAACCATGGAACCAGTACCAGAAGAAGATCAGTGCAAGACTCTATCATCTGCCATTGAAGAAGCACATCAAAAAGGCACATTGATGGAGAGAGTAGCTGTGCTCGAAAACCGGGTATTACAGGTTAGCAGCAATGGCAATAGTTTTGTTTCATGACCCCTTCTAGCATATCTCTGTCTCCATTAGCAAATGTCCCAATTGAGTAGATTTCTTTTTTCTTTTAGTTAAGCCATGAGATGGATGTAGAAAAAGCATCAAGGTCTAGCTGTTCCACCATTCTAGTATCTGAGGACAAGCAAGACCCTTTCATAACTCAAGTAAGTTCAAAATCATAGCACTAACTACACTTCACTTATATTTATTTCACTTTCTAAAAGGAAAGCCTGAAGCTGTACTGATAGAAGCATATGTGATGATGATAATTGCTTGCAGGAGTGTTCTTCGGAAGCATGTGTAAGAAAGCCACATGGTTCCAAGGAGGCCGGAAAAAGAAGAAACAATCTTGTCTCCATCATTCAGTTTAGAGAAAGGTTTAGGTGTGCTCGAATGGGATGTTAATCAATCATCGTCAAGCATAAATTGCTGCATTAATTACATCCTCAAGACTCAAAATAACAAGAAGAAGATTTCAGAGTTTGGGCCATCTATATTTCTTTTACCCAATTCAGCCCACTAATGGTTTTTGCCAATGAGCCCATGTAACACAACTCCGTACTTGTAATAAGCCCTAATTGCAAAAGAGGCAAATTGCAGGCCCCTTTTGTTGTGGATTTGAAAAGGGCTTTTGGACATACAAATCAATCATTAGTGGTTGGTAAACATGTGATTAGTGCAAGAAGCATGATGCGTAATGCTCTCTAATTATGAACTTATAGAATGCGGTTGTCCAAAAGCACACATGCCTTTAGTGTGATTAGCGAAAACGGAGATTCCGTAGGTGAAGCAAATTAGCAAAAGATAGAAAGCTCGCATGATTTTGTCTATGTTCTAAATCGAAACAAATAATGCAAAAAAGTTGTGATACAAAGCCAAATACAAACGGCAATGAACTTATATCTCAAGAAAGTTGTGATACAAAGCCAAATACAAACGGCAATGAACTTATATCTCAAGTGTTTAAAAAGATTTATCCACATTCTCCATATCTTTTATTCGACTTTCCCTTTTTTGAATAGCGATTGTATAAAAAAGTTGCAAATATAAACATAAAACATATCTAACTTTTAGTTCTAAATTTGATTAGGGGGAAGGAACGTGAATGCCATGTGACCAACCGCAGAGCACCGACCAGTATTTATTTTATTTAATGGGCAACAAAGAAAGAAAGATTGCCATGACTCAATAAATAGTGCTCATTACTCTCATTGGGGCAGCTCACACACAGTTGTCAACTTACCAAAGCAGTGTTTGAGAGGAAAGTTGATTTCCCGCTGGACCATGCATGTTCATTCATATTGAGTGAAAAAAAACATAAGAAAAAATAAAATAAAATAAAAGTGAAAAACCATTTTTACTAGAGGTGTGATTAAAATTGGAATTTGCACGGTGGAGATGATTTCAATTGCTACCAAATTTGTTAGTTAAATATTTGGTCTATGAGTTTCTTGGTCTATACACCGATAAAAAGTATATTTAATGAGCTAATTATGCGATTCTGAGTTTAACACAGAAACACCCAGAAACACCCGGAAACAGAGAGAAGGCTTGGACGGTGACACCAATGCTACTAATAGTGATGATATGCTCAAATACAGCCAAGTTTTGATTTTTATTGAGAAATTATTGGTTGGAAGAAATTGGGTTTGAAGAAGAGGTTGAAGAAGAAGATTAGAACTTGAGAAGAAATGGTGGAGATGAAGGAGGAGAGAATGGCGATATTCAAAGGCAGAGAAATATTCGGGTCCAATGCTTTGCACACGGTTGTGGCTTTGGGCATATGGCTGGGGACTATCCATTTCAACGTGATTTTGGTCTTCTTCGCCATCTTCTTCCTTCCTCTTTCCAAGGCCCTCCTGTTAGTATTCTTCTCTCTCTCTCTCTCTCTCCCCTTATTATTTGTTTATTTATTTGTCTGCTGCAAAATCTGTATTTCAGTGTAATTGGGTTGCTGCTATTGTTTATGATAATCCCAGTTGATGATAAAAGCAAAATTGGCCGATCACTATCCAGGTAAGGGTACCCTTTTCAGCTTTTTGCTATTTGGATTTTGGAGTGCAAGTATACGAAGTACGCAACCCAACCCAGATAAAGATAACTTTTTTATTTTTTTGGTTTTTTGGTATTTGCAGGTACATATGTAAGCATGCTTGTGCTTATTTTCCAGTGACTCTATATGCAGAGGATATACATGCCTTTGATCCTAATCGATCTTATGGTATTACCCTTTTCATCAAATGTGTTATTGTCTCATTAGAAGCTTTAATAAATTAGTAATATAATTGACATTTGTGTCTCTGTGCTTCATGTAGTTTTTGGTTATGAACCACATTCAGTTTTGCCAATTGGTGTTGTTGCACTTGCTGACCTTACTGGTTTCCTGCCTCTCACCAAAATTAAGGTCCTTGCAAGTAGCGCTGTAAGACTTCTTCACTAAATTCATATTGTTCTTTCTGCTTTTCATATCAGGTCAACCTTTTTCTATGATTTCTTAGCTACAGTTTTGCTCATTCTGTGTTGGAATTCATGCTTAGGTGTTCTACACACCATTCCTAAGACATATATGGACATGGTTGGGTCTTACACCAGCCACAAAGAGTAATTTTATCTCCCACTTATCCGCTGGTTATAGTTGCATCATTGTGCCTGGTGGAGTGCAGGAGACATTTTATATGGAGCATGGCACTGAGGTTTGTATCTTTAAAATCTTGCTTATGCTCTTTCTTAACAATTGTATCTGGATGTAGAGCATAATTGAGTGCTACAAATTCATTATGACAATCAGCTGGTGTCTGTTTTCTTAATTGAGAATCAGTTGCTTATTTTGTAGATAGCATATCTCAAGTCGAGAAGAGGATTTGTTCGCATAGCCATGGAGATGGGTCATCCCCTGGTTCCAGTTTTCTGCTTTGGTCAGGTATCACCATTTTTTATCTAGTTTATTTCACCTATTAAGACATCTAGAAAGTTAGCCAGTTGCATGGTATGTGTTTTTCGTTTGTGTGCCTCCTTTGCTGGTCCAAACTTGTATTGATGGTAAATTGTCAATAGTTTTCTAACTGTCAACATCAGTTTGTTGAAATCTCTGAGTAGCTTTATGCATCGATTGCTTGGGATTATTAAAAGGGCCATTATGTTTATTGCTTCTTTCGTTGTTGATCCTTGATTTTACTGTTTTCCTCATGATTGTGCTTCTCCTAACAATATGATATTCCCTTTCCTTTTCTTATGATCCATTCATGCTGCAGTCAGATGTTTATAAGTGGTGGAAGCCAGGTGGGGAGTTATTTTTGAAGTTTGCCAGAGCTATCAAGTTCACCCCAATTTTCTTCTGGGGAATATTTGGGTATGTGTTCTGAGTTTTTAATACTCTATTGTCCTAACTTTCTTTTTCTTCTGGGGAATATTTGGTATGTATTCTGAAACCTACTCTGTCGCATTTGTTATGTATATTTGTATATATGTGATGTTGACAGTTAGCAGGGCTACAGTTTTCAGCAGCTGTTAATGGTTCATATCATGGTTCTACTATGCAGATCTCCTGTACCCTACAGGCATCCAATGCACGTGGTGGTAGGAAGACCAATCGATCTCAAGAAAACCCCACAACCAACCACGGAAGAGGTATGAATTCCACGACAACACCTGAGCATATTGTATGTGTTTGGTCACCTGTGAACATTCAGTCATGGAGAACCTTTGCTTGGATTGTATTCAAATTACTTTATTGCACTCTATTCTGTTTCCCTGGGCCTCAACTTCTACATGCATCATGTTTGAATGAATGCTTTTAATGACACCAGTGGAAAAGAGTAAAGCGTGAATAAGAGCAGAAATGTTAGATACCTGAAAATAGTCGATGCTGTTCAACACCAATGTTGTAACGACTAAGGGATGTCTCACATACCAAAACATCCATCTCCGTCTTTGGTTTCTCCCATGTCAAGAGCTTTTAATGTTGTGAAAAGCTATTCTATATAATTTTAGTTGCATTGTATGGCATAGCTTTATAGATCGATTCTGGCTGAATGTCTGAGTTTAAACTTCTATTCATTTCCAGGTCAATGAAGTACACAGTCAGTTTGTTGCAGCACTACAGGATCTTTTCGAACGGCACAAGGCTCGGGTTGGTCATGCTGATCTTCAATTGAAAATTCTTTGATCAGATCTTAATCCATGTTCCTTCTACATTATCATTTTTTCTATTCGTGTCCGCGGAAATTAGTGCTAACATGTTGTATTAAGGTAGATTGTAGAAATGACAGTTGAAGAATTGCTCTTGATGTCTAGCTAGTGGATCTATACATAGTTTGTGCCCACATATGGCAAAAGTCCAAACCTTCATCCGGAACAACAGAAGTGGCATAATTAAGATGTGTAAATTTAGTTTTTAATTATTTGATAATTTCTTAATAAAAACAATGAATTATACACTTTAACCTTTGGATGTCTCTTTAGCCTTGAATTACCTTTTCATTTTGGTGCTTGAACTTGTCCCTACAAAGAGAGAGAGAGAGAGAGAGAGAGAGAGAGAGAGAGAGAGAGAGAGAGAGAGAGAGAGAGAGAGAGAGAGAGAGAGAGAGAGAGAGAGAGAGAGAGAGAGAGAGAGAGAGAGAGAGAGAGAGAGAGAGAGAGAGAGAGAGAGAGAGAGAGAGAGAGAGAGAGAGAGAGAGAGAGAGAGAGAGAGAGAGAGAGAGAGAGAGGTAACTGGTTTAAGCAACAGCAATTAAAGACTATCCTTGAGAAAAATGAAACTAAGAGCTAGCTGACTGAAAGTAGCAGGAAAAAAAAATTTTGACCGCAGACAGAGTTTCGAAACCCCGTTTATGATCACCAAAGGTGTTTGATTGACTCCCCAAATGAAATCCGTCGTCTCTTCCGGCTCTACTAACTACAGCCAATCTCCCGTCATTCTTCTTTGCAAGAGCAACTCTGTTTGCAGCCTCTTCAAGGGCATCCATAGACCGTTATAAATTTCAACACATTTAAAATCGCTGGCACTTCCTCCAACATGACACCACTTCAAAATATAATGAGATGGCAGAGTTAAGAACATTTGTCACCCCCATAAAAACTGTCAAATAAAAATTATATTTAATCAAGTAATGACTGAGTTTCTGTGCCCAAAAAGAGGAAATGATGTCATTCTGAGTTAACACAGAAACACTCAGAAACAGAAAGAAGGCTTGGAAGGTGACACGAATGCTACTGACAGTGATGATGTGTTCGAATGCGGCCAAGTTTTTATTTTTATTAAGAATTATTAATTTGAGGAAATTGGGTTTGAAGAAGAAGTTGAAGAAGAAGACTAAAACTTGAGACGAAATAGTGGATATGAAGGAGGAGAGGATGGCGATATTCAAAGGCAGAGAAAAATTCGGGTCCAATGTTTTGCACACGGTTCTGGCTTTGGGTTTATGGCTGGGGACTATCCATTTCAACGTGATTTTGGTCCTCTTCGCCATCTTCTTCCTTCCTCTTTCCAAGGCCCTCCTGTTAGTATTCTTATTCTCTCTCTCTCTCTCTCTCTCTCTCTCTCTCTCTCCCCCTGCTTATTTGTTTATTTATTTATCTGCTGCAAAATTTGTATTTCAGTGTATTTGGGTTGCTGCTATTGTTTATGATCATCCCAGTTGATGATAAAAGCAAAATTGGCCGATCAGTGTCCGGGTACGCCTACCCTTTTCAGCTTTTTGCCATTTGGATTTTGGGGTGCAAGTATACAACCCAAAACCCAGATAAACATAAGTATTGAATTTTTTATTTTTTTGGTTAAATTTTATTTGCAGGTACATATTTAAGCATGCTTGTGCTTATTTTCCAGTGAATGTGTATGCAGAGGATATACATGCCTTTGATCCTAATCGATCTTATGGTATCTACCCTTTTCATCAAACGTGTTATTGTCTCATTAGAAGCTGTAGTGAATTAGTAATGCAGCAGTATAACTGACATTTGTGTCTCTGTGCTTCATGTAGTTTTTGGTTATGAACCGCATTCAGTTTTGCCACTTGGTGTTGTTGCATTTGCTGAGCTCACTGGGTTCTTGCCTCTCACCAAAGTTAAGGTCCTTGCAAGTAGCGCTGTAAGACTTCTTCACTTTATACACACTGTTCTTTCTGCTTTTCATATCTGGTCAACATTTTTCTATGATTTCTTACCTACATTTTTGCTCATTCTGTGTTGGAATTTATGCTTAGGTGTTCTACACACCATTCCTAAGACATATATGGACATGGATGGGTCTTACACCAGCCACAAAGAGTAATTTTATCTCCCACTTATCCGCTGGTTATAGTTGCATCATTGTGCCTGGTGGAGTGCAGGAGACATTTTATATGGAGCATGGCACTGAGGTTTGTATCTTTAAAATCTTGCTTATGCTTTTTCTTAACAATTGTATCTGGATGTAGAGCATAATTGAGTGCTAAAAATTCATTAATCTGACAATCAGCTGGTGTCTGTTTTCTTAATTGAGAATCAGTTGCTTATTTTGTAGATAGCATTTCTTAAGTCGAGAAGAGGATTTGTTCGCATAGCCATGGAGATGGGGCATCCCCTGGTTCCAGTTTTCTGCTTTGGTCAGGTATCACCATTTTTTATCTAGTTTGTTTCACCTGTTAAGACATCTAGAAGTTAGCCAGTTGCATGGTATGTGTTTTTCATTTGTGTGCCTCCTTTACTGGTTCAAACTTGTATTGATGTCAAATTGTCAATAGTTTTCTAACTATTAACATCAGTTTGTTGAAATATCTGTGTATCTTGATGCATCGATTGCTTGGGATTATTAAAAGGGCCATGATGTTTATTGCTTCTTTAGTTGTTGATTATACTGTTTCTCTCATGCTTGTACTTCTCCTAACATTATGATATTCCCTTTCGTTTTCTTATGATCCATTCATGCTGCAGTCAGATGTTTTTAAGTGGTGGAAGCCAAGTGGGGAGTTCTTTTTGAAGTTTTCCAGAGCTATCAAGTTCATACCACTTTTCTTCTGGGGAATATTTGGGTATGTATTTTGAAACCTACTCTGTGGCATTTGTTAGGTGTATTTGTATATTTTGACGTTGACAGTTAGCAGGGCTACAGTTTCAGCAACTGTTAATGGTTCATATCATGGTTCTCCTATGCAGATCTCCTGTACCCTACAGACAGCCAATGCACGTGGTGGTAGGAAGACCAATCGATCTCAAGAAAACCCCACAACCAACCATGGAAGAGGTATGAATTCCACCAAAACACCTGAGCATAGTTTATGTGTTTGGTCACCTGTGAACATTCAGTCATGGGGAACCTTTCCTTGGACTGTATTCAAATTACTTTGTTGCACTCTCTTCTAATTTCTGTTTCCCTGGACTTGAACTTCTACATGCATCATGTTTGAATGAATGCTTGCCAAAAAAGAAAAAAAAAAGAATGAATGCTTTTAGTGACACCAATGGAAAAGAGTAAAGCACGAATAAAAGCAGAAATGTGAGATGCCTGAAAATGGTCAATTCTGGTCAACACCAATTTTGTAACGATACCAAAACATCTATCTCCGTCTTTGGTTTCTTTTGCAATTGAAACTTAGTTCCAGTAAAACATCTTATCTTCTACAAACATAGCATGTGATTGTTGATATTTGTACTTGCTCACTTGACAGTTTTCTCCCATGTCAAGAGCTTTTAATGTTGTCAAAAGCTAATGTATGTAGTTTTAGTTGCACTGTATGAGCAAACTACAAGTGTGTTGACTGGCTGCTGAAGCTCCATGAAGTTCATAGCTTTATAGATTGATGCTGGCTGAATGTCTGAGTTGACACTTTTGGTTTTTCTAGGTCAATGAAGTACACGGTCAGTTTGTTGCAGCACTACAGGATCTTTTCGAACGGCACAAGGTGCGGGTTGGTCATGCTGATCTTCAGTTGAAAATTCTATGATCAGATCTTAATCTTATGTTCCTCCATGCTCCCTCCTCATTGTCACTTTTCCAATTTGTTTTCTGCGCAACTTAGTGATAACATGTTGTATTAAGTTAGATTAATTGTAGAAATGACGGTTGAAGAATCATGATGTGTAGCTAGTGGTCAAGTTAGGCGTGATATCTTGGTTTCTCTCGACCCTACTTCTCCCTTTCTTTGCAACCCCTTATGGTTCCAGGGGTTAATAAACCGGGCGCCTCTCTCTCGCCTCTCATGTTATTGAGAGTGTTTCCCCAGTTTTATGCTGGGTTTTGTTTCTCCCAGTCTTTTTGGACTGGCTTTTAACGTTACTTTTTGTTGTGGAGGATTTATTATATGCGATAACCTACATTTGGGGTGTGTTCTTATTGTTTATACATAGTTTTGTACTCACTTATTTGAATAGTCAAAACCTTCATCTGGAGCAACAGAAGTGGCATAATTAATCTTTGTAAATTGATTTTTTAATTATTTGATAATTTCTTAATAAAACTAATGAATTATATTCAGTCGCACAATAGCATCTTTAACCATTGGATGTCTGTTTAGCCTTGAATTAACTTTTCATTTTGGTCTTGAACAACGGCCCCTACAATGCAATCGACGTGACATTGAACCTAATCATTTCACATAAAACGAGAGAGAGAGAGAGAGAGAGAGAGAGAGAGAGAGAGAGAGCGCTATACAATGCTACTCTCTTTCATTCCTAATTTAATGTTTTCAACTTTAACAGATAGCTGTAATTTTTGCTCCTCAATATCTTTCAAAACCGAAAGCAAACTAGCTCTATACAATTCACATTTCCGTTGTGCACGATCAAGTTGGCGCTCAAGTTTCTGGATTTTCTTGTCCTGCTCATCCTACAGAATTGAATAAGGAATGTTTAGGAATAGTTATAAAAATAAACACCTTACAAAAGGAGTAGGGAAAGCAACAGATAACAAATACATGAAAAAAAGCTTGTTCGACTCCACTCTATATCATATGGAGTAAACAAACTTATATGCATCAAATTTTCCCAAGTAACATTGGCTGTCCAGCATATATTGTCTCTTCCCAACTATTCTTAAAAGTTCTTGAAAAGACAATAAAATCCAATTGTGTGTTCGCATATTTCACAGCATTTGAATTTGAACAACAAAGAGAAAGGTTTAAAAAACAAAATTTAATAAAAGAAAAACAAAATTTTGGCATTTACTATTTTCCCCCTAATATTGTAAGTAAGTGGTTTAAGTGGTTAGACTGGTTAAATAAGGAAAATTACTGAGAGAAAAGAAGGAAAAAGGAAATTTCCTCTCAACAAGTGTAACATACACGCACAAATCCGAGAAACTATTGAATAGAAAAGATAACAAAGATCAACAGCAAATTAAAGATTATCCTTAAGAAAAATGAAACTAAGAACAAACTGACTGAACTAAAGTAGCAGGGAAAAAGAACTGACCGCAGACAGAGTTTCGAAACCCCATTTATGATCACCAATGGTGTTTGATCGACTCCCCAAATGAAATCTGTCGTCTCTTCCAGTTCTACTAACTATAGCCAATCTCCCATCATTCTTCTTTGCAAGAGAAACTCTGTTTGCAGCCTCTTCAAGGGCATCAATAGACACGTTATAAATTTCAACAGTTTTAACCCCTTCATCAACATACTTAAGTGCCTCATGACGCAGATTATTGTATCGTACTGTGAGAGATTCTTGTGACTTATTCAACAAATCGCTGGCACGTTCCTCCAATATGACACCACTCTTGGCGTTCCTTGTCCAACGCTTCAAAATATAATGAGGTGGCAGAGTAAGAACATTTGTCACCCTAAAAACTGTCAAGATGTGTGCACAAAGAAGGCCAGAGAACTCAAACATCTGGCAACTACAAAATGCTTTCATCTCATGAACATTAAATCTAACAAAATATGCTTTATGGCTTTCCCCAAATTTAGACACTTGATATACGGATCCTGCCTCCTCATCCTCATCCTCAACTTTCATTGCCAAGAAAGTTAATGTCTCGACCAACTCTTCTTGAAATTTCATAAACATTTTCCTTGTGTAAAGCCCAGCTGCCTGTTTCTCCATGGGCGAAGGGGTCTTAAGAATAGGAGCAGTGTTTATAGTATCATAATCTGCCTTCACTTCTTTCTCATACCGGCTTTCAAGAGCTTTCTCATACTGCTTAACAAACAGCAGTAGCGTTGTTGATGCATTGACATATCCATCAAAATAAGAGTTCATGCTGTCACTGCGCTGTGTTATAGATATTTCTGCAAAGAAGGTGTCCCTCAGGTATACAGGGACCCACTGCCGCCTATCAGCATATATCAATTGAAGCCATTGATGTTCCCTGAGATCATATTTATCAATTAAAGACAACCAACAAGACTCAAACTCTTCAACTGATTCGGTCAGGTTGACAAATTTATGAAGCTCTGCTTCAAAGTTGGAATGCTCACAATGCACATAGGACAACTTTTCTTGGCATTCTTTAAAGATGTGCCACTTGCAGAAGCGGTGACGGGTATCAGGAAAAACCTGGGTGATGGCCAAGCTAATCACTCGATCATGTTCAGTCGTAATTGAGAGTGGAGGCCGGCCAGACATTGCTGTGAGCCATGTTTTGAAAAGCCAAAGAAACGATGCCTCAGATTCATTTATCAGGAGGGCACATCCGAACAACACAGGCTGTCCATGATGGTTAACCCCTGTGAAAGGTGCAAAAGGCAATCGGTATCGGTTTGACCTGTAAGTTGTGTCAAATGTAACAGTGTCACCGAAGTAAGTATAGTCAGTCCTTGCCTTAGGATCAGCCCAGAAGACATTGCTCATGCACTGATCTTCATCTCCCTGCACAGCAAAGAAAAATGCTGGGTCCTTGGCTTGCTTGTCCTTCAAGTAGTCCAAGAGCAGCTGAGTGTCGCCTCCAAGGGTCCTTTGCCTACTACTCCTCATGTAATTCCTGCAGTCACGCTCTGTGAAGCCAATGTTCTTAATTCCACCATATTCTTTGACGAGGGCAGACATAATCCCTCTGGGGCCAATGCCAGCACCCTGCAAGGTATCGATCAAGGACTTTGCAGCACCAGAGACATGACGATGAGAGCGGAGGCAATGCACCCTTTCAGGAGGAACCAGCTCATGGTTATGTTCCTTGACAAAAGCAGAGACAACCCATTTCCCAGAGTCTTGAATCTTGACTACCAACATGGCCTTACAACCAACTCGGGTCTCAGGCCGGGGGCGCTTGACCCTGCCTTCACGGTCAGAGCCAGGCTTGCCATGCTTATCGACACGAAAGCCCTCCCTAGCACAAACAAAAGACCTCTGGATGATGGCACCATCACGCCTGGAGCGTCGAGACATACTGACACGAGTGCTGAAGCCAGTGCGGCGAGCATAGGAGTTGTAGAAGGCCTTGGAAGCCTCCTCCGATTCGAATTCCATGCCCTCATAAGGTTCAAGGTTAGTGTCTCCTTCAGGGATGTAAGGTTCGAAAATGGCAGCACTACCAACAACATCAGAAACACTAGGAGTAGGAATAGCAGTAGGAGGAGAATCGTGAAGGAGATCATCATGGTCAACAGAGTGGTCAATATCACCCAAACCCATCATGTCAAATTCAATAACATCATTGCCCAAGCTCAATGGCTCAAACTCCATTTTATCAAATGGGCTTCTTTTATTTATACTCTTGCTTAGATTGAACCCAAAAAAAACCTCTATGTGAAATCAATCACCAATTCAATCGTAATTTACAAAGAACAAGAGAAAATGTTGTCCTGCTAATAAACTTTAGTGGGCAAACGAGAAAGCACATAAATTTGATGATAAATGTGAATTTAAGAAGGAAAGCTAGAACCTTGAAGAGAATCCTTTTGATCAGAGAGCATGAAAACCCCCACGAGAGCCCAAAATCTTCACTTGGAGACGTTCAGCAGCGCCCCAGAGTCCGCAGAAACGAAACGAAACGAAAAGCAGCGTAAATTTAACATGCAGGAACAGAGTGAGAGTGTGACAGAGAAAGAAGGGGGGAGTTGGGGTTGTGGGTTTTGGGGCAGATGATTTGGTATTTGACGAAACCTGGAAAGCTTCAAGGACTACCACGTTTCACGCCGTTGGATTATATCCATCCCATCATTCTTTTCAGTTTCGCTCATCACATTTCTCTTCCGTTTGGCAACTCGGATAACCCCACTCCTGCTTTGAACATATGTTTTTAATTCCCACACAAGAAAATATAAAAATAAGGTTTTTTTTTTCCTTAAAATTGTGTCTTAATAGAATCATGGAGAAATGGTAATTTCACTTACGATTGTTGTTGCTTATGTCTAAAACGATTTTAAAGTTAAGTATTAAGATTTATATTGCAGAGATGTGTTTAGTTAAATTAGCTAAAGCTTAAAGCAGATGTGTTTTCCACTTTGGACCGAGTTTAAATTTCTCTCATTGTAATTTAAATTAGATTAAAGTAAAATATTTTTTGTACTAAAAAAAATTTAATTATAATAAAATTAATTAATTCGAGTTCCACCCCTAAGTATGATTGATTGATTATATAATCTTTCTCTTCCCAATGCAAAACTTTTCAAATTTACACTTGAAAATAAATAAAACAGCAAATAGTTTGTAACTCAAGTGATTATGAGCATTTATTCATGCATCTTAGGTTATAAGTTCAACTCCCCAATCTTCTAATATCACCCACTTGTATAAATAAAAAAATTAAAAAAAAAGAAGAAGTAAGAATTAAATAAAAATTCAAACAAAATAAAAACCGACAAAGATTAAAAAGGCGAAATATTACTCACATTGTCAGGCGCAATAATTAAGTGCAAAAAACAAAAACAAAATAAAAATTAGTGCAGACGGGGAAAATTTTAAATTCTTTTTTATGCAAAAAGAAGCAGCCAAAAAAGAGGAACACTCATTGGCCGACGTCGTTTCAAGCGTTATAATATCGGAAAGCGTGTTTCCAGAAGTGTGAAATTAATACATCGAATTTCCGGCCAGATAAATTAGAATTAAATCCAAAGAAAATCAGCTGAAATTAATAGAAAATAAAGGAATTAGGGTTTATGCTACGTACCCGCGATTAGGGCACATTTTGAACCTTCGTCTTCTTCAATTCCGAATCAGGTATGGAGCTCTTACAATCCCCTATTTTCTTTCCCCAATTACTGTAATTCTACATTTCTTCTGTTTTACGGAAAAAAAAAATTGATATGATGATATTCGAGACGGCCTGAAAATGTCAATTCTAAATACAATCGTAGAAATTCGATGCATTAGAAGCGCACAGTGGTAGATTCTACTTGTGACTGATTTGATTTTCTGTTCCTGCGTCTATCCCTACTTTTCTATTGTTATAAAAAATTAAGTTTCTTTTCTAAAGGGCCTGCGTGTGTGTTTCTGCTCATCTTTTGTTTGTTTATTTATTTGTTCGTTGTTTTAGTTCTCGTTATGAATGGAAAATTTACTATTGTTAAACATAGGAAATGAGTGATACTGAAGAGAATGAGGAATCTGTGAAAAACGTGCCAGTTGCTGCTGTAGATAATGGGCAACCAGAAAATATTCAAGAAAGTGATCATAATAAGCAAACCAATTCTCCTCATTCTGGAGAATCTGAGCCCGTCCAGGACACCCCAAATCCTGCTGAAAAAGTAGAAGTTCTACCTGATAAGACCGACATTGAAATGACCGCTGATGGTAAAAATAATGTAGAACCACAGTCCAATTCACCCCAACCTGATCAAGATTCACCTCCTCCCTCAGTACCAAGAAATGATGATGACCAACAATTAGTCAAGCCTGATACTGAACCCTTGAGTGGCGATGACCAACAATTAGTCAAGCCAGATACCGAACCCTTGAATGGCAATGACCAACAATTAGTCAAGCCAGATACCGAACCCTTGAATGGCGATGACCACCAACTAGTCAAGCCAAATACTGAAGCCACAGCTGATGCCAAGACTGAAGCCCAGGATTTGCCTCAAAGTAATAATCATGGGTGTGAGGATGGCGACCCTGTTTCCACAAGTCATTCAGAGACTGCTGAACCCACTGTTGGTGTTAAAACTGAAGCTTCTCAAGTTCCCGAGGGTGAGTCTAGTAGTGCTGTTGGAGATACTGTAACAGTGAGTCATAATGAACATGTTACGCCTCATGCTGGATCTTCTGATAGAAAAGCTGATACTGGGAGTGGAGAAGAATTGAAGAATAATGAAAAAGATATTACTACGCCCAAAAATAATGGAAACCCAAACTCGAAGGGCTTGTTTCTTTTGGATGACAGCCACATGTCTGAAGGTAATGATTCTGGGACAGAAGAGGAGCAATCAGCTTTCATGGCGGTGGTGGAAAATTTCTTTAGGGAGAGGAGCATGGAATTTAAACCTCCTAAGTTCTATGGAGAGGGTTTGAATTGCCTTAAGTAAGTTGATACTCATCACTTTTACTGATATATTATTGTTTACTTATAAATTGAATGTTATTTATTTTGGCTAATGTTGAAATTTTTACTGGGACAGGCTTTGGAGAGCTGTGACTAGATTGGGTGGCTATGATAAGGTATGGATTGATTTTTAATCATAATGATCTACATATTAGTATATGAAAAATGACTAGTACAGAAGTTATAAGAGACCTAATAATTCAAATTATATATACAGATATGTTAGGAGTTTTCTTTCTCCAGAACCATATTCTTTTCTTGTTACAAGCATATATATGACTGGTCTACTTATGGATAGGTTACCTCAAGTAAGTTGTGGCGGCAAGTGGGAGAAACCTTTAAACCTCCAAAGTAAGGAACAACATATGTTGCATATATAGCTCCATTATTGTTTTTTCTTTTTTTCTTTTTTGGTCAGCGGCTACATTATTATTTACTTAATGCAAAGCCCATTATTTGGAAATGTGGACTAATGGCTATTCTTTTGTATCAATGGCTACTTTTCATTTTATTGCGGATTAGTTTTGTGTCATATGTGAAATTTTAGATGTACTGATAGTTTGCCTTAATTCTCTAAGAGAAGATAATATATACTGCTAATCATGAGTACTGAAATTGGGATTCTTGTTTGTTATTTGTAAGGGTGTTTATATCTGTTTACTATGCATGCTATTGTGCAATGAAACTCCCTACCAAAAACAAACAAAAAATATTGATAGGGGAGACATGATAAAAAAACTGTGCTCCTTTGAGTGAATGTTCTTTTGTTCCGATTTAACCCCATCATGATTTTCTGTCATAGCAGCAAAGAAAAAAGGGTTGGGGTGAGGGCGTGGGTTTTAGTGTGTTCCTTTGAGTTTTATTTTTTTCTCCGATTTAATCCTATTGTGATTTTCTATCTTAGTGGCAAAGAAAAAGGGTCAGGTGAGGGAATGGGTTTTAGAATGTCCAACGTTGTTTTACTATGTATTAAAAGATATTTGGGTTTCTTCTTCATTTCCACTGCAGGACATGCACTACGGTTTCATGGACGTTTCGTGGCTTCTACGAGAAGGTGTGTGTGTGTGTGTGCATCTTTGTTATATATTCTCCGTAGGCTAATTAGCTTCTAACATGTTGCTACGAGTGCATGACTGCCCACCTGTTTAAATTTGATGTTGGATCAATAAACATGGTTTCAACTTTAAGCTAATGTAATTATTGACTGGCTTGCCTGCTATGATTGGGAACTTTTAGCCTGAAGGCCCAAGCATGGTCTGCCCATCTTCTTGATGGTTGACCTTGTACATGCGCATATGAGGGGCCTGTGTTGGAAATTAATTTTGAGAAGCTTCTAGTACATTGCTTTATGCCCCTTCTGGTTGCCTCAAGATAACCCGAGTCCACTGTTTCAACTCTCTGTTTAACCGTAATTTGTATCTTCCCCAGTATACTAGATCATAAAGCTTATATATTTAAATTTTGTTATTAATTATTGGTTTTTGTTGTTGTTTTTCTTCAGGCACTCCTAGATTATGAAAGGCATAAATTTGGTACGGAGCCCAGTGTACCAATCTCTTCCCAGCCAGAGCCTATGAATATTGATAACCAGGTAATGTTTTGGGTATTACCGTATGATATGACTTTGTAGTGTTCATTCTTATCCCTCCTAGATGGCATGTTTTATGCCACTTTGTTCCTCACATGATTAAATATCCCTTTGAATGAAAATGGTTTTCATTTACTGCTGAAAACAAATGGATAAATTATTATTGAAGGTGCATGCAAAATTTTTAACTGAATGAACTATCACATGTCAAACTTGAAAGTTGGTGTTGTTAGTTGCTAACCATTGGCTTTCTTGAATGTGGCTAATTTGTCAGGTTTTTGTGGGTAGGTTCTTGCTTACGCAATCTGAGATAAGCATGTGAACTTGTTTTATGTTTAACATCTGTGACATTACATTGGCACTAGGATGGCAAATTTCATAGTTTGGGGAGCTCTCTGGCTGACCATTTTAGTGTCAAAATGCTGGTGAAATCAGATACTTAGTATAAAACCAATCAAGCTTGATATTCCAGGGCCCTTAGGGTAAGGATTTTAACAGAAATGTTTCACTTCTCAGATCTACATAAAATAAATATGAAAGTTATCCTTAGTTCAATTTTTAACCATTCTGATTAGGGTCATTTCTTTCTGGGTGAATTTTTTATTTTTCTGATAAAACTTCTGTGGTGATTCAGCCTGCTCTCGGTTAAAATATAGAGATTATATGATTACAAGTGTTGAATTGAAATTCCAAAAATGTTTCAAGTTGCAATTGGCTGTGTTCAAACATTTCGTAGTCCCGGGATTTTTGGTCCAAAGATGCTCAACCTGTTTTATTTGCCACTTTTGGTTTCTCTTTGACCACAATAGTTTTTTTTAACTCTCTCTCTCTCTCTCTCTCCCAACACTTATGCATGATGATGGTAATTAGGCTTCAGGATCAGGCAGAGCAAGAAGGGATGCTGCAGCACGTGCCATGCAGGGTTGGCACTCACAACGTATCCTTGGTAATGGTGAAGTCAGTGACCCTATTATAAAGGTCTGGAAAATATTAGGATTTTTGCTCTCATTTTGTTATGTGTTTTTCATTCTCTCCATGTAGAAGTCAGTTCTGATATCATTATACCATCTCTTCTGTTTTTTTAGGATAAAAATTCTGCTTCTTTGCAAAAGCGTGA